AGATACGAGGATGTGCGAAGAGTGTCATGGGGTGCTGCTGTGGTCACGTTGCCTTCTGCAAGAGTCATTCTAGCAAGTGGCGATTGTGTTGCAAGATGTCAAAAAGATGCATTTAACTGGAAGACGTAGGTCGTCATCGATGAGTGAGATTGTGCTGTGTGTGTGCCTGTGATGTGTTGGATTTTCCGTTTGTTTTCTATTTCAGCTTTGTCAGTGTGACCCAGGTTCTCACACTGGCATCCAAGTTAACGTGTTTTGGTCGTGATGGAAAATAGGGATGGATCCTTTTTTTGCAAGGGAGTATCAATGTAGTTGAAGACTGAGCGATCAATTCATGGTTGTTTGCTCAAACCCAACTCCTCCATATTTTTCGCGGGTATCATCAATCCGGCAGTCATCGTCTCATCGTTCGCTGTTCATTGGAATACAGAAAACTATCAGAAGTATTATCGTGATTTATTGTTATAACATTTATTCTTAGGCCTTGTGTGTAATATCCTTATAAATAAATAAATTTATTATCATAGTACAGTACATGAGGGACGCCAGTTTACAAGCATCATCAAATTGTTACAGAAATAGAACCATATTATTCAGCCACAATTTACGGTCGATAGCAAGATATGTTTTACATGTACGCTGGAGATTATACATACACTTGATAAATGTTAATCTCAATAGTATAAAACAGCCTTTTCACTTATGTACAATCATTCCTATGCACAGTTGGAAAAATCTGCTAGATTGTCAGTGGGTGCAACACACCAGGAAATACAGAAGTATTGTCTTTGCATTAACAAGAAAACCAGGTATTTGGTGGATGGGTTATAAATGCCTGGGAATAAAATAATGCTTGAAGTTAATTTTCCGTGCATTGTAGTTCATTGATGTGTTATTTTGAAACCAGTGATATGTTTATCTCATTTGATCTGCAATGTCATTGCTGGGAGTAAAATACATAGGCTTTAGACGCATTAATTAATGGATTTCTACTGCTTGTGGGTATTTTCTTCACGTGAGGAAGGTTTATGAATTTCAGCTGTTCCGACAGGAGTTGTGAATATTAACTGCTCAGCAACATTATGGATGTAGGTTCATCACATTATCTTAGGAAAGTTGGGTTGCAGTTGGTGAGGCATATATGATGCCCGACGAGCGTATATCTGTCCATGTGATGTTGTGGTGAGTTATACCTTTTTCATGTTGTCGGTCCAGCGTAGTAAGAGCTGGACATTGACAAATTCTGAGGGTTGGCTGACGCATATATTATCGAAATGCTGTAATGAGTTATATTAACAAAAAGGTTACTTGGATACACTGTTAAAGTCCACTGCTACAAATTATTAATATAATACTCAGAAGCGTTTACTGTTGGAATCGCATCTACTGATAGAAGCTGTGTTCCGGTCGGAGAGTTGTATTCGGATAAGGATAATAGATTCCTTCAATAAATACAAAGTATACAACACGGTATGAGTGGAGCAATTAGACGGTAATGGCCAGTGATAAGGCGAAGCTACCAACAGTATAGTGCATTTTGAATTGTACTCGGAAGTTATATATGTTTAAACATGAGTCGTTTTAAACAGAAATCAAGTACAATGTCTCTAATTTCAACGTCTAACGAAAAGTGTACAATCATGCTGTTACGTACTCCACACATATTCCTCTTGTTTCACTTTCGTTCACCACAACTAGGGTTGTCATCGGTGATAACAGGCGGCCATCTCTTACTTTTCTATTCACTTCAAAAGCCTCGCTGAGTTTTCCATTATGGATCACCTGACACGTGACAGGCATTGTCATGTAGCCAAGTGTTGAGTAATATTGATAAATGTTTGGACATTGCATGTTGTAGTGTTGAAGGAGTTTCCAAATACTTCATAGTCAGCGCTGTATTTCGAAGGCCTTTTCGAAACCAGTAAAAATGAGATATATTTTTGACTACCGTTCTATGCACAGCCTGCGTTGATTACGACGCGTAGAGTGGCTGTTTGACCAGCACATTATTTACGTTTTCTAAATCCAACATGTTCTTGTTGGAGTCCAGCATGCAGTGCACCTCTTATTCTCTCTGGGATGATGTGACTTAGTACTTTACTTGGCATGAAAATTAGTGGAAATCCCACGCCAATTCTTAAGGAGGCATAAGTTGTCCATCTTTGTTAGCTTAACAAGATAGCTTTGCTTCCCTTTGGCAGGCATCTTCCCTTCCTTCCAAATCCTTCGCAATAGTGACGTATTTCTGCTGCACTCTCGGGGTCTGCTTCCAGTGCTTCGGGTTGCGGAGATTCTATGGAATCCTGCTGCCTTCCCGAACTCCAGCAGCCTCATCTCATTCAATATTTCAGCTTTCGTTGTAGAATTAGTGTCCACTTGCAGGTAGTTGTGTGCCTAATTTTGGCGTTGTTGGTATTTTTGAGCGATTGAATGTGACGGTCGATACAAGGGTCGTTTAAAGTGATCAGCCAATTGTTTTGTCTGTTTTCGTCTGCTTAATAATCAAGTTCCTTTGAACATATTCCTGGTTTTATCATCTGGATATATATGTAAAACTTTAGCGCTCTGGTAGTAAGTAATTCCATATTCGTTTGTTTATTTATTAGATGTATCACACAGTGAAACAGTATTATTTACTGGATGACGTTTCCCATCTCAGAACGATGAAACCAATAATCCAAAGTCAACGGCGATCGATAAAACAAAGCGGGTTATTAGTTTCTCAACACATATATTAAGTCTCACAGATATAAGTGGGACTAAATTTTAATGTAGCGGTAGACAAGCTGAAACCCGAGGATGTCATCCCTAAAAAGGAAATAGCATTAAGTAGGATAGACAAACAATGTCTTACGAAGTGCAGGTACAGTTTGCACTAACATTACAATGACAAAAACGTGGAAAGGCTAACCTGACAGAATAAGGGATGGAAGCTCAAAAACACCTGAAGAATAACAAGGATATAGTAATCACAACGTTAAACAAAGTAAATGCAACAGTAATATTAGATAAATCAGACTTCCCATTGTGTCGTAGAATTGTCTTTTTTCTTCCGTAGCACTCTTTCTTCTTTATCCAGTGAGTTACACACTGAACTGAGCTTCCCCTTCTGTCATGCATCTTTGCACCGAGTCCCCTTCTCTGTCACGGTCCTCCTCTCGTCTCTTATGTTGGCTTCCAGATAGGTATCCGTTGAGAGCCATTCCTTGTCTTGCCTCTTCTTTCTTCCTAGAATAGTTGTACACGTTTCCCTGAATATCGCCTTCAGATAGTTACAATTTTCTTCCACGCAGGTGACCTCGGTGATAACACGTATTGTGTCCGACTTCGTATGGTCTGGTCTGTAGTGAAGGTACCCCTTGTGCTTTTGTTCTTCAGTTTCTGAATGTTGAACTTGAATTACATTGGCCTGTCCCCAGTTGTTTTCATGGCTTCCAGCTTCACCTTGAAGGTTCCTTGAAATGAGTGATGGTGTGAGCCAACATCTACTCACCTTGAATTTGTGTCCAGCAGGCTGCGTCTCGACTCCCTTGAGCGACAATGAGATGAAATCTGTCTGGTTTGAGGTATGTCCATCAAGCGAAATCCATGTTGCTTTGCTCTCATAAACGCTGCCTCTGATCCCCAGATAACTGAAAGAGCAGAAGTCTGCGAAGAGTTCTCAGTTCTCACTCATTCCGCCAAGCCAAATACTCTCCACCCATGATGAGTTTTCTTCCTGTATGATCTGATCCCAGTTTGGCTGGCATTCATATTACCCCTCAGGATTCTATGTGACCATTTGAAATGTTGTCCATTACTGTTTGTAGTTGTCTGTAAAAGTCTTCCTTCTTTTCTTGCTCCGCGTTGAATAGTTGTGACCTTTCCACCTTCCTTACGAGTTGAATCATTCTGTCCTCTAGGATGGAATGGGTTTCCACTGCATTCGGGCTTTGGCTGCTATTTGTGACATCTTAATAACCACTAACAGCCTCAGTGTGCTTGCGGTTGTCATCTGGGTGACCAGACCAAAGTAGATTACTGTCTCTCCAATTGAAAACTTGGATAGTCCACATCCTTCCAGTCTTTTCAGACGAATTCCGAACACTTATACAACGTATTTCCTCATTTCGTTGTTAACTTGGGCAGCTTCCCGGCCTCGTGCATCGTACGACCATTCCCTGTCCCCATTTTTCTTGTTACTTTCATCGAGAGAAGGGACATCTGCTGGCTGATCAGCTTCCCGAAGACTTTCACTAGCCCGATTCATTTTATTATTATTACTATTGCACTCTCCAGGGTAAAGTGACTAGTCCTACACCCAACTCTCCCGCGTTTCTAGAATTCAGGACGGCTAGAAAACTAGCAAGCTAGTTAACAAGGTGAAGTTACTATTTAACGTTTATTTTAGTGTCAAGTGTTAGTGACTACCAGAGATATTAAGTTATTCGTATGAAACTACTTAATTGTTTTATTTAATATCAAATAAAAGTCTCATAGTGTAGGAAAAGGACCTGGCTAACCATCGAATTGTTGTCTGATTGTCTAATACCGAGAACATTTTCATCAAAACAAGCTGACATAATACAGTGTAAATCCATATCAGAGAAATAAAATGATTTAAAGATGACTCTGTCCACTGCGAAGTCATGCGACATACAATCTCCTGGATGACCAACCCACATCTTGGCATGTGTCACAAGGATTGGAAACTCAATGTTTCAAGAGGTATACACTTCATTATTACACGGCCATGTCAGGGCTACTTAATTACGCGAATCTTTATCATGCTACAGTTCTCCGTCATAGTAGCTAAGTTTCATTTTACTACACATTTTTGACCTTCATGGTTGTAAGATATGATTCACGCAGATTCATGGAAATAGGAACTTGTTCAAACCATAGCAGAATTCTGCCAGATGCAATAGGATGATGAAAAGTCAAAATTCACGGGCCATCGCAATTTTTTGTGTAAACACGCCTCAAATTCAATCTTGTATTATCGGCTTTTGTTAATGTGTATATTGACCGAAGGAGCGCCTCGTTCGAAGTTGGTAACTGTGGCTGGGACGTAAATGGTCGATTCCTCTGCTGTTACTGACTCGATGGCGACTTGTCTTAATGGAAGTAATTTAACACTATGAAGGTAAGAATATTTAGAAATTCGTTTTGTGTGTGTGGATGCAGTTTTGGAATGTGAATATGTATTACACATTTATACTATCAAGAACCTAAGGGTATATTTATTGTATTTTTCCATAATACTTCAGGTTTTTACCCTAAATAAAAAGCATTGTCATTGGTGGGAAAATAGTAGTTTTTTTTACGGGAGCATCACGAGAATCTGTGCTCATGCTTACGGTTTTTGTCATTATATTTTGATTTTAAATCTTAGTTACGAAAATGCCCGTTGTAGCCCATGAGTATATTTTAAGTTAAACTAATGTGTTTCAAAGGAAAAATTAGATTACAATAGCCACTTTGGTACATAGCCGTGACCTATGTGGTGTTCCGAAATCCGTATCTACTTCTGATTTCGTCCTTGAACGTATATTGGAATTCCAATCCTCCAAAAAATCAGTTATTCCGTTGAGGTTCTTCACATGTATGCGCTCTAGTAACTCTGGTTAATTCATTACTTACATTTATGAAGAACTGGGCCTCCCAGGAACCCAGTAAGGAAAGCCAGAAGAACTGGCATTGTACGATTGGGTGATGTCATGTGTAACTCCCATTGGTTGTTGAAGGCGATGTTCTGAGGTGGCTGTTGTGGTTAAACACCTCATGCACCCAAATAAACATTCATGTCCTTAGTTGAACCTCACTCAATTACGTTTGGTTCATTTTGTAGCTGATGTGGTGTTGTGGTCCTTCGCATTTCAGTCTATCTGTTAATGTTTTTAGGATTATTAAGAGTTTGTTATGAAAGTGAGTTAGAGAAAAACAAGGATTTCCACCCCCTCTGTATGTTAGTTTTCGTGCAATGGGCCGTAAACCGTTCACAATATTTAAGGTCCTCTGCTGTTAGTTGCGGTTTTAATCAAGCTACAATGGTTAAAATATCTGCGCTTATAAAACTGTGTACCTCATCAATTGTGGTGATGGATGCAGTTGAAAAAAGTCTGATTCATCTATTTCTGGTCTCCACAAATTTCAAACATGGAGACATTGCGAGACCTGGCGACCTCTATCACCAAATCAATGTTGGACTCAAATAGACCACATAAAGATAGGGTATCGTTAGCGAGGGGCTACAGAAGACTGCCGTTACTTCTGGAACACGTGTGTAGACTCGAATCACGCTCTGGTTCGCTCACGTTCATGCTTACAATTAAATGGACGAAAAATTTGGCAGCGAAACAGTTACGCCCCCAACCAAATTAAGACAGAGTCCTTAGCAAAGAAATAGCGAAACGAGTATCTGGGGTTGACAGCAAGACTCCTCCTGAGAAAGCCTGGCACAACATACAGCTAGCTGTAGACAACTGTAAAGACTGTTAATAACAAAACTAAAGTCTGTAGAAGCCGGTGGATGGGCGTTGGTGGCACCGGTAGAATGCTCGCCGACCACACATGTTGTCCGGGGTTCAATCTCCGGCCTGCGCACTCTTTTATCTCGCCAAGCCAGTAATAAGACTGGTAAGAAGAAAAGGTTAGGCATAAGGCCAGCAACCTCACCCCGTAATAAGAAAAAACCACTGCTACCTAAACTTCGAGCTCGTAGCTTGAAGCCTTTTGTTCAACTGGGAACCTAAAGGAATAAAAGAAAGTTGATTTGTACTACAACATCCGAACTGATTGACGCAAGAAGACTGATTCTGGCGAGCTCCAAATATGATGAGCATATACTGCTCAAACGCAAACTAACAAGAAGTCGGCTACAGTGGACAGTGGTGGGCGACAAAACCGAAAGAGATGAAAAATGCATCGGCGATTGGTAACACCGGACAGCTATTTATACTTATCAAGGAAACAGATGGTAAAAGGCAAACGATAAGTGAAGCAATCTTTGAGAAAAATGGCACCATGATTAGCTAACGGGATAGATGACTGGAACGTAGGAAAAAACACTTCGAGGAGCAATTTAACTGGCTTACAGATAAACTCAACTTACTATGCATCCAACACCTCCCTAAATGGGACATAAACACTTGTTCTCCGTCCCTAAATGAGGTTGAAAAAGCTGTGACTAACCTGAAATGAGGCAAAGCAGCAGGAACCGATGGAATGACTCCAGAGGTGTTTAAGGACGGTGGAGACAGTTTGCTGTCTTCGTTAAGTAAGGTAGTAGGTAACGTCTGGGTATCAGAGATAGTCCTGTCGGGCTGGTGTAGGTCATTGACTATCCTGATGTACAAGAAAAGAGACCAGTCTTCCGGTGATAATCGTAGAGGGATTAGCTTGTCTAATATGGAATCTAGTTCTAGACTCAATAATAATGCGTAGACTAAGCAGTGCTCGGAAGAAACGGACACGAGAGAGCTAGTCAACCTTTAGACCGGGAACGTAAACAGTTACCGGCGTCCAAAAATCGTTTTTGTCTAAGGGCAGCATTCGATTCTGTCGACCGGGAGGTGCTACGGCGATGTTTGGCGGTGAACGGAGTGCCGAGAAAATACATTGCACTGATTTAAGCACTTTACTTGGACTCATGCTGCCATGTGAGAGCTTACCGGGAGTTGTCATCTCATAACTGTGGAGACAATTAGTAGTGTCCATCAGGGATGCCCACCGTACCCATTTCTATTCACTTTCATCATAGATGTGCTAATCGACTTAACCCTATCTGACTTCAGCTACTCAGGGATTCACTTGTTACCACCAGGAAATCATCTTGTTGACTTTGCATATATACATGATAGAGTCCTCCCTCATAGGTGAAGACGCTGACAAAATCCAGAAGAGTTTTATGAACACATTGAACTGAGCATTAATTTCCGAATGTTTGCCATGCGATTCGCTTCTGCTATCAAATGTAAGATGGGGCAACAGCAATGGACTGAACTCGACTAGACTACATTGACTCACTCCTAGCTTAAAGATAGACAGGGAGTGAAGTAGTGACTGCGCGTCATGACCACTTCACTTATTTGGGAAGTTGCATCAGCCAACCCCCACAGGTTGATCACTGACGAAATCTCACCACGGATACAGAAGGCTCGTTTCGCACATGCCTGCCAAATTTATGCCATCTCTGGCTTAGCAGACGTGATATCCGGCTGTATGTAGACCAAGCGGTGTGTGTACTGCTCACCAGTCCGCTTTGTCCTCCTTTGTGGCTGTGAGACGTTGTCACTGAAAGTCGAAGACACGAAAAGGCCGGCTAGCTGTCTTTGATCATAGGTGTCTGCATTTTATCTCCGGTACAATAGAGTAAAGAACACAGGTTAGGCATATGTTGAGTGCTAGGTAAGGAGGGGAAATCAATAGACAAGGCTTTGAAGCAGCTGCATCGATTGAGATGGTTAGGAAATGTGTTCCGTATGCACGCCTAGCCATCGCCTTCCTCGACAACGGGTAATGTTAGCTGACAGGATGGATGGATCAGGTTGGAAAAGAGCTAGCCAGTGGCGGTTGTGTTTATACGAAAACGTGGCTTCATCAGTCAGTGAAATCCATAACAGTTAGTTTAAGCTAACCACGTAAGGAGGTATGGACTTCTTGGTTGGGGTCCTCGGGGTGGAGACGATTGGTGATATGGCTGGCTTAAAATCGTCCTCAATGGTTGGCAAGGATGCATTAGATCTTTGTGATTTGTCATATCCAATAAAAACTTACTGTTCTTCCATATTACTGTTCTTTTACCCTCACTCACAGTTCTGCTTATTATCTCTCTTTTGAATCTCTCTTCACTCTCTTCTCTTGCTTTGTATGCTACATGAAGTGTGGCGATCCGAACTGTTGCACATCTGTGCAAAGTTCTGTGTTGAAACCAGTCAATCATAGAATATTAGTTAATGTAGTCTACTTAAACTCTTGTAACTGCGTATGTGCTTACAGAGAGTTGTTGCTTGCAGTGGAGAATTATTGGTTGAAGACATTGCAACATAACTCAGGATCATCTGCAGTTGTATTGATTTCGTTTCCTTCTTTCTGATTCTGGTCGTATTCAATAATGCTAACTAAATTTTCAACTTAAAACAATGGGCAAAGGCCCAACAGTTCAAACTGCCAGATGCCATGAAAATACCTAGAAAGGGTGAGTAATTGCCCCTTTGTATTCTTGCTTTTCAGAAATATAACTACGAATGTCCTTCGAGAGATTTATAGTGACTTTGGTATGAAGACAAAAGAGTTATAGATGGAAAATACTGTAAAGAGTCTTCTATGGCACAATGAACGTTCGCAGCACGTTTTTCAACAGACATTGTTATCTTACATCGATACCCTGGCAACTGGTATTAAAGAATCAAACGTTCGGTGAAATCAAACAAAAGTGGGGACAGTCGGCATCCCTGACGGATACTGCTGGTTATCATCTCTTCAGAGGACTACTCTTCATTTCGAGTAGAGTGCTTTGATAAATGCGATATACTTCTCAATCCCCTCAAGACTAGAAGTCGCCACAGCATCTCTTGGTCGATGGAGACAAATACTAGTTCCAGGTCAAGGAGTAGAACAAGTTGTGTCACCGGTGAATAAGCCTATTTTCCAGAAAATCTGTTCTACCATATTACTATTCTTTTGCCTCCACTCACACTTCTCCTTGTTATCTCTTTTTAATCTTTCTCTACTCTCTTCGCCTACTTTGTGTGCTACATGAAGTATGGCAACTCAAACTACTGCACTTCTGCGCAAATTTGTACGTTGAAACCAGACGGTCAGAATGGCGAAAATGTGATTAAGAAGCCCTCGTCCTGGCCTCTCTACGTGGCTAGCTTAAACTAACTGTTATGGATTTCACTGACTGATGAAGCCACGTTTTCGTATAAACACAACCGCCACTGGCTAGCTCTTTTCCAACCTGATCCATCCATCCTTTCAGCTAACATTACCCGTTGTCGAGGAAGGCGGTGGCTAGGCGTGCATACGGAACACATTTCCTAACCATCTCAATCGATGCAGCTGCTTCAAAGCCTTGTCTATTGATTTCCCCTCCTTACCTAGCACTCAACATATGCCTAACCTGTGTTCTTTACTCTATTG